TATTACTATCACCATCATTTAGGATAAATTTAGGTACGTTAAAGTCACCATGCATAATTACTTTTGCGCCACGTAACAAGTCCGATTCTTCTAAAGCCTCAAAAAAGTGAACAAAGTGAGGGTTAAGCTGGGGGGATATACAATGCAATTACGTAGAATGTGACTTGAGAAATGTAGCACTTACAACACAATAAATCAATACATGGGAAACTATCATTGAAAAAACGAGGTATTAACCTCATAAGGTCCACATTTAAATAACGCTCGAGAGAAAAAGATTTTCTTCAAAAAAGATATAATAGGTATAAAAAACACATTTTATTGGAAAAATACTTTATTTTTTCTTTAGCAAAAAAAGTAAGTCAACGTTCCGGTTTTGGAACAAAGGTCAATCATCTTAAATATGAAATTCACCAAAACAGTTCCTCTTCTTATTTATACATAAGTATACATTACATTTGATGCAGGAAAAAATGTTTTCAGTCCGCAACCTGGCTTTTTGCATCTCTGTCTTTATTACTTAAACTTAAACGTGCAAATGAGATTTTGTTGGATAAAATTGAGCAACTAACAGTTAATAAGCCTCCCGGTGTACAAACACCTTATCAAATTAGGAATCCCATATCTTATAGTCAAGCTGTTTCGACGAATGTGAAAAATGAGACCAAATCTGTATTGGTTATAACTTCAAAAAGTGATAAAGAAACAAACATGGATGTCTTAAAAAATATAAAGGCTAACGTTAATCCAGCAACTGAAAAAATTAGTATTAGCAGCACCAAACTTGTGAAACAGGGAATGCTCGTAAAATGTTCAAATGATGAATCTTTACAGAAACTAAAAGCAATAGTTGAGGAAAAATTCAGTCATCAGTATAAAATAACTACACCTAAATCTTTCAAGCCCCGTGTCTTAGTTTCTGATGTGGATAAATCTCTTGATAACAATGATGATTTTATTCAGTCGTTGGTACAAAACAATACATTTCTGGTTGATTGCGACATAAAGATAATAACTATGCTGAAGTTAAAATATTCTTTAAGTTATGTCATAGAAGTGGACCCGGAGGTAAGAAAAAGAATAATTTTTCAAGGCTGTTTGTACACGTCTTGGAGAAAATGTCATGCCGTGATCATATATCGATAATCAGGTGCTTCAATTGCTCTCGGTTTGGTCACCATGATGTTAAAACCTGCGAATCTAGTATTAAAAAATGGGTAAACTGTTCGGCATATAACGACTACATGCTGAGTCGTTCTAGAAACTATAAGCCTTCTCCTGTAGATCATGCATCATCAGATACCCAATGTCCATACTTTTTAAGGAGACTAGCACAAATTAAATCCAGAATCGATTATGGCTAAATCAATAAAAAATATTTTAAAAATATGCCATTTAAATGTACGTTCTTTAACGGCTGACTTTAATGAATTCTCATCTCTTGTACGATGCAAGTTTGATATTGTAGCAGTCACTGAAACATGGCTCCATTCAAACATTGATAGCACTGCTGTCAGTATGCATGGGTATAGCTTCTTCCGTAAAGATCGGGGGAGTAGAGGGGTGGCGTCGGTCTGTATGTTAAAGTCGGTTTTAATAGTAGCGTTATTCCAGTTGAGTTCTGTGATTTTGTAATTCCCCTGGAAATTTTATGCTGCAAATTTAAACTACTGGGAAAAAGTATGCTAATTGTTGTGGTATATCGGCCACCACATTGTTCTATATCTCAAGCTATCCAATCCTTAGAAAACTTGATCGCATTTTTCACACCCCAATATGATAGTATTGTATTTTTAGGAGATATGAACGTTGACTTGCTTGCGCATAATAATATCCTTAGCAGCTGTTTCGATTCTTTCAATTTCTTTCAAGTCATTAATGAGCCTACACGAGTTACAGCTTTCAGCTCCACATTAATTGATTACTGATCACCGACTTGTCTTCTGCGAGATCTCCATTAGTAGTAATAAAATAGAGCCCAAATTTGTAGCATATCGGGATCTCAAAAGCATTGATATCCCTAGTTTTAAGATGATATCCCTAGTTTTAAGACGCAGATCGCTTCATTGCAGCTTGACGATATATATTACGTAGATGATGTTGATACTAAAGTCTCTATTTTTACTAACCGTCTTATGCATCTTTTTGATATTACGTACAGTGCGAGTCACAAAGCCTGTCGCACCCTGGCTAACTCCTAATTTAAAAATAATATTTCAACTAAGAGATGATGCATTAGCAGTATTTCAGAATAACAGATCTGCATAAAACTGGGAATACTACAAGGATTTGAGAAACTTTGCTCTAGCATCTCTGAGAAGAGAAAAAAAAGCATATATGTCTCGTTTCAGTAACTTAAATTCTAGTCAAGCGTGGAAAGAGCTAGGGAGGATGGACGTGGTTGAACAAAAGCGTGTTGCGATACCGCCAAGTTTACTTGATCATAACGATTTAAATAACTACTTTCTTTCAATTTTCCAGGCAGCTGTAACTGATTCTAACTTGTATGATCGTGTTTCTAACAGCTACAGCAATAGGCGTTATATACCAAGGGCACCTCTATTCGTATTTAAACTGCTCACTCAGCAAGACATTCTTAACATAATTAGTAATATTAAGTCTACGGCCTGTGGTTCAGATGGTTTAAGTTTAAATATGGTTTGCTTATGTCTGCCCGAGATTATCGATTACATAACGCATGTTATTAATATCTGCCTTGAAAGTGGTTATTATCCAGCCAGCTGGAAAAATGCTATAATTATTCCACTAGCCAAAAACAATTGTCCAGAGCAACATTCTGATCTTAGACCAATCAGCCTGTTATGCTTTCTATCAAAAATGCTAGAGAAAGCTGTCTACTCTCAACCGGTGGAGTTTTTTGAACAGAATAACTTATTTCCTCAATGTCAGTCGGGTTTCAGGTCTGGTCACAGCACGACCTCGTCGTTATTAAATCTCACTGACTCTATCATCTATAATTTGGATAATCACATCAACACCGTATTGATACTGCTAGATTTCTCGAAAGCCTTTGACATGGTCAGTCACCAGATACTATTGAGTAAATTGTCTTACTATGGTATGTCAGATATAGTTGTAAAGTTCTTCGAGTCATACTTGCTTGATCGGCAACAAACTGTGAAAACTGAACAGGACATGTCCACTACGAAGCCGGTTCCTTCAGGAGTTCCTCAGGGTTCTGTGCTTGGTCTCTTATTATATCTGATATAAACTGCCGATTTGCAAGATTGTGTAGTCCATTCAGCCATGCATACTTACGCGGATGATACTCAGTTGGTGTTTGCCTTTGATCCGTCAGAGGTTGACGAGGTTTCTTTCAAAATCAATTTGGACATGACTAACGTGAACGATTATTGCAAGAAACACTGTCTTAAAATAAATCCTAAGAAGACTACTGCTATGTTGTTTTGTTCGAAAAATTCCTATCCAGTTGTGAAGGAGAGAATTAATATTGTGTTGGATCAAACACTCATCCCTCTTGTTGACTATACTAAAAACCTCGGAATAACTCTCGACAAAAACATGAGGTTTGATCATCACGTTTCATATTTGTCGAGAGTAACGTATATGCGCTTGAAACTTCTACATTCAAGTCGACATATTTTAAATTTTAAAACCCGTAAAAAGCTTTGCGAAACTCTTGTATTGTCAATTATATCTTATTCTCTTGTCCTCTATTATCCATGTTTAGATTATAATAACAAATGTAAGCTTCAGAAAATTCAAAACAGCTGCTGTAGGTTTATATTTGGTCTCCGTAGGTTCAGTCACGTTTCGGATAAAATCAGAGAACTCAACTGGCTGAAAATTGATAAAATATTTTTATATTTATTGAACGTCTTAACTCATAAAGTTCTGCTAACAAATAGACCGGCCTATCTTTTTAGCAAATTGATACCTCGTGGTAACTTCGTACCAAGGACTCTTAGATTTAATATTAATTTTAATATGCCGCTCCACAACACTTTTATCTTTGAAAGGAGTTATACCTATAATGCTGTTAAACATTACAATGCTCTTAACCATTCGCATCGATCCAAGCCAGTCTCTTCTTTTAAGAAGTTAATGAAAAATCAGTTGCTGGAGACAAGTTAGTTCTCTGTGTTTATATATGTATATGATTGTCTTTTCCTGATTGTTTTGTGTATCTGTCGTTCATTTAATGAAACTATGTTGTTCTTAATTACTTTTTTTTGTAACATGTGTATGTATTTTTCTTTCTTTTTTCTCTGCTTTGGGGTTAAGTGGAGGAGTAGCCGTCTGGCTAAACTTCGCCTCACTGCAGATAATAAAGGCATTATTATTATTATTATATATAATTGACCAAAAAGAAGGGAGGTTATTTCTCACCAACTTTTGAGCTTCTTGCAAATAGGTTTCATACCTTAGTCTAATGAACTCGTTTCTGTAAAAATTGTTTTTAGTTTGTTTCCATTTACGATATTTTCTTGACTTACTATGTTCTTAATTATTAACGAATTATACCTTCTTGGAAACTTCCGCTTGAAGTTTTTGAATAATGGTACATGCTTATCCAAGATTCCATACAACTTTTTGTAGAACTTGTCAATTGCTTTATTAACATCCTGAAATGCTTCCAAAGATGACCAATCAATAATAGTTAACTCATTGTATAATGCAACAAAGTCGGTTTTTTTAAAATTATATACTTTAGAGTGCTTATTGGTGCCAAATAATGGTTCCTGATGAAAAATATGAGGAAGCTTAATGATACGAGATGATGGTCATCAGGTTGCACTAGAGGAATATGGTCACACTCAGTAGTGCATACAACATTACTCAATACTAAATCTAAGAGCCTGTTGGATGTGTTGATTACATTATTATACCGTTTCAGATCTAGGAGAGACATAAAATTATTTATTGTTCTGGTATTACTATCACCATCATTTAGGATAAATTTAGGTACGTTAAAGTCACCATGCATAATTACTTTTGCGCCACGTAACAAGTCCGATTCTTCTAAAGCCTCAAAAAAGTGAACAAAGTGAGGGTTAAGCTGGGGGGATATACAATGCAATTACGTAGAATGTGACTTGAGAAATGTAGCACTTACAACACAATAAATCAATACATGGGAAACTATCATTGAAAAAACGAGGTATTAACCTCATAAGGTCCACATTTAAATAACGCTCGAGAGAAAAAGATTTTCTTCAAAAAAGATATAATAGGTATAAAAAACACATTTTATTGGAAAAATACTTTATTTTTTCTTTAGCAAAAAAAGTAAGTCAACGTTCCGGTTTTGGAACCAAGGTCAATCATCTTAAATATGAAATTCACCAAAACAGTTCCTCTTCTTATTTATACATAAGTATACATTACATTTGATGCAGGAAAAAATGTTTTCAGTCCGCAACCTGGCTTTTTGCATCTCTGTCTTTATTCTTTTTCACAAGGGAAGTGACCTATTTGGTCAGTTCGCACGTCAAACTTCGGTATGGGCTTTGTTGGCTCCTTTTCCTTTTTTCTTCAAAATTTCTTTCAATACTTCTACTTGGTCTTCCTCGTTTTCGTGTATTTTCACTCTTCCCCAAAAGGCAACTTCAGCGCGAAAACCAAGGGAATCCAATATATCTTTTTTCTCCAACCCTGCTATCTGCTTATCAGCTTTGTAGCGAATCCAGGCAGTAACTATAACCAAGTCAATGAAGTGAAAAAATATGTTCAAGTACCATTTTCTACTTCTTAGTGTTATCCTATAATAGGATATAAGCCCATCTAGCAAATCTACTCCACCCATAAAAAGATTATATTCTTTTACCATATTTGGACGTTGGATATTTATTTTTGTTTTTTCTTTTCTGACAAAACGTTCCACTGTGTCAATAGGATGTGATCTGTAAAAAGTACTCGCCAGACAGACACTTTTATTATCAAACCATTTCAGCGCAAATATTTTTACATCTTCTATGGTAGCTTCATCCTCCTCGTAAGTGCCTCGGCCTTTTTTTTTCATAATATTATCGCTTGAAAACGTAAGGCCATGAATTATATCTTTTCTTACAGCTCCCAAACTGTAGATCCCATCTTTGTATAGTGTAGTTAGAAGCTTCAGAGAAGTAAGCCAATTATCAAAAAACAAAAAATGATATTTGTGCTTGGGAATAACTGCTGCTAGCCGTAGGACTATGTTTCCACTTGCCCCTATGTCGTCTTTCCCAGATACTGGTAGTATTTTTCCGGTGTAAACCTCAAAATTGTGGATAAGGCCATCTTTGTCGCATGCAATAAAAATTTTATACCTCCATTTATTGGATTTTTTGGGATTATATTGCTTTAGGGAAGAGCGTCCTTTGAATGGAACTATTTGTTCATCCACGCAGAGTTTTTCAAGTTTTACTTGATTTGCAAACTTTTGCTGTAAATTATCCAGGAAGGGTCTAAGTTTGAACAGCTTGTCTCTATTGACATCATTTCAATCTTTTAGTAGGTTCTCATTATTATTGAAATGAAGGTTTTTCTTTATTTGTTCCCACCGCTTTCTGGACATGGAGTCGGCCGCCTGTGAAACTCTGGTGGCAGAACTCCAATAAAGTCTATGTCTCGGTAAACCAAAAATCGACATATTCCTAAGAAGACTTCTAATCCAGATCGAGCAAGGTTGAGCGGTCTATTCGGGTCAACTTGGCAAGCGTATAAATTACCTTGTTCTACAATTTGATCTACTAGCTCATCTGAGAAAAATAACTGGAAATAATGTATGGGTCTTAATATTTCAGGCTCGTCGTCTAGGTTTTGTGAAGTAAATGGCGCCAAAGAAACACTCACTTTGCCTTCCCTAATTTTATTCCATTGCAAAAAAATTGATCAGTGGTTGGTCATCTTCTGAATCGTCTTCACTGTCACTACTTGTAGAGTTATCTGAGCCTGGCTTGGACGGCACATATTCATCGTCAGAATCGCTCAGATTCTCATCTTCACTATCGCTTGGTAAAGATGCCATAGTTTACTGAAACAAAATAATAAAGCACTGTGAAGGACTAACTTGCCCAGAGTTCCATATTTATATACTAAATGTCCATTGTTCCTGATCTGGAACTATGAAAATATTTACGTTATCGGCTCTTGTAATAAGAGTTTTTGTATTCAATTTATTTTAAAACTATACTACAATAATCTACTGACTCACCTGTATTTAAATTACGCTATAAAATAATCAAAAAACACAAGAAAAGCTTTTCAGAAAACGATGCACCTAACCAACAACAACAAATGATGACATTCTGCCAATATCTCGGCGTCGGGTTCATAGATGGCGTAAGACGTCACCTTTATTACACAATATTCACATAAGGAACAGTGGACTATTGGTGAAAGTTGAATGATTTTGACTAAGATTTTTTCATTTTGAATTTTTGAAATCAGTGTTCCAGTTTAGGAACATGAGCCGTTAAGAGGATAACATGTATGACATTGATTGAATCTCTAACTGCAATCAAAACTCCACCACCTGTGGACATATGTAATACATCTAGTTTACGGTCCTGTCTAAATACCTGGCAAGTGTCCAAAAAGAGTTCTTCACTCCGCGATCCATCTTTGAGCCACGTTTCAGTGATCACAATAAAGTCAAACTCACCCACTGATTGAGATGTATCAAATGTTGAATTCAACCCCTCACATTTTGGTAGTAGAAAGGTATCTCCTCCTTGTCAGACGAACTGCTGGGATCATTCAGTTTAAAGCCACAATTTTTGGTACATCGTTGATATATTTGATTCAAATATTCATCTCCCCTGCATTTTTCTGATCTGTCAGTTCTTGCTTGACAGCCTTATATACATAGTTCAATTTATTTACAGGTGCGATTATTGGAGATAGGAACATTCCTAAAGTTAGGACTATATTTCAAATTACTAGAGTGTCTTATTATATTTCGAACTGTATCATTAATCAAATTCAAGCGGATAACCAAATGGAAATGGTATTTACCATTTTGGCTTGGTATTTATCAATCCGTTCAAGCGAGTGTAGTTATCAGTTTGGTTATAAGATCCGTGACGTCACGAATCAGCTGTTATATGTCATAGTTACCACCGCAAAATTGTGGTATTTACCCAACTCGAAAGTAGTTTTATATTTCTGGTTATTATTTGAAATGTGGCAAGTTACAATTTTGCCAGGTTATTGTACTTCAGCTTCATTTTTGAGAAAATTGATACAGGCTGACTTCTGTTTTACCATAAAGTGGAGCACCTTATTAGTTATACTCATAACGGTTGTTGGGGACACTTTAAATGTAGTTCATATGCTTAACAAAGTATCCTGTGTAGCCATATACCACAAGAATATTAAAATATGGCCATATAAACTCACTAGATGATATCCACCTGTATACGGTTTTGCTAATTTTTTTATCCATCATTTCTGCTGAATCAATAAATGTTTTCTTTGACATGCGGAAAAATTTAGAGAATTGAAAGTTATCATAGCAACAAAGCCATGGTTCCATCATTAAAAAAAAAATCTGAAAAAAACATTTCTCCCATGAATATTAGAAAGGTTTCTTATTTAAACTTTCCATATACAGTTGTAGACGAAAAAGCACCGATTATTAGGTGATAATAAAAATAATCAAAGATTATATACGCGCTTTTCTAAGATAAACAACTTGCAACAAAACCGCGGTTAAAACCAACGCGTTCAAGCGATTCGTGTAACTGACGTCATCAACCCGTATGTCATCTTGAACCATATTATAACCGCAGTACGTAACACAGAAATTTTGGTTATTCGCTTGGATTTGATTATTATCTTTGAATACCAACTTGACAGGTCGTTTCCTCGAAGCAGTATATCGTCCAAGTCGAATTGGCTTCAGATCAGTAGGCGACAATTCAGGTGAAACACATCGCAAAATTTCCTTAACTGCAGCCTTGTCGCATGTGGCTCTATCGTCGGGAGATTTTCCCTGATCTGGTTCTTCAATATTGAAAACTATAATATTGTTTTTCCTTTTCTGTCTTTCTGTGACTTCCGCAACTACATCTAAAAAGTCAAAATACATCCTCTTGTTCGACATACCATCAGCTTTTAGCTCCTTAATTTCACTTTGGAGCTGAAGGATAAGTGACTCAAATCCTTGATGTCTTTACCAATTACTCTACAGCTAGCACAGGTCCAATCATAGCCTTTGTTGTGGTTTAAGGTCCAAACTTCATTAGCAGTAATATCGACACAGCTATGTTTATATTTGCCTTTACATACTGAGCAAGTGACTATCAGGTGATTGTCACAAGCTTGATTACAGCGTTTGCACGTTGTTCACCTGCATTGGCTCACTAAATTTTTTTAAATCGACTCAGTCCTATTACTTTCCGGACAAACTCTGTATAGCAACCACGTTACGCAAAATTACATTGTACTACAAATCCAACTGACAATAATCATAAATACATTCTTGTCATTGACTAGACGACTAGAGGTTCTCTAATTCAATGCTCATTTCTGCACAACTCTTATGTTTGACCTAATCATACCACGACAAACACGTGCCAATCCCACAGCAAACGGGATTCACCTCCTTCTCGCTCTCCCAATTGTACAACGGTCCTTTTTTTGTCTAGAAAGACAAATCAGCTAAATAAATGTAATCGCCTGACATTTCTTTCCCTTATCCCTTCACCGTCCTGAGGCGAACTTCCCTGATCCCTATCAGCTACCACGCTTTGTGTCACTCCGAAGGGAAATCGTTTACCTTATCGTTATGCCGAATCGAGACCCGTTTTTGTAGCCACTTTCTGGAGGACTTCAAAGAACTACTGAATAGCTCGACAAAGAGGAGGCAATAGATTTACAGATTAGGGAAGGGAAATTCTTAATTACAACCCCTTCGGAAAGGAAAATTGATTACCTTTGTCAAGGCGTGATTATTTTTCTCCAGAAAACGTATAAATTAGGTAACTATGGAATTAGATGCGAAAAAGTGTTCGAAATGAAAAAAGACAAACGAAGCTGAAAGATACATAAAATCTGAAGACAGATAAAGCGGTGCTCTGGAAGGCCCTCAAAACGAATGAAGGAGGTGCTCATCCAGAATATGAAAATGAATACTAAAGGCTTTGTGCCACAACAGTCTCGGGGCCCGTTTGCACCGACGATCTAGCTCCCTTCTACCGCTACACCAATGGGCTTTGCTTCTCAGAGCTCTCTTCCATAATGCCGCCGCGCAATGTGCCTGCCAGACAGACCCGCCTGACTTCCGTCTCCCATTCGAACTTCCTACATCCAGAACTAGCCGATACGACCGCTCCTCTGTCCCTAGGATGCAAAAAGGGGTAACAGTCTGCTTTGCTCAGTTCTACTGATCTTAGGCAATTTAAAATGGAATTTACAAAGCTTCTTTGGGATTCTTATAGCAGACACGGTCCTGGCATTTTGGCTTCTGCCTACGAGGGTGGTCCCAGAAGTACCCGGCCTGATCTAGAGATGGCGATAGTTGTTTGAAAAATATCATTGTATTAGAAAGTATGCAACCTATAAAGCATATGTGTCAAGTTTGAAGACGTTGTTTAGTATTTATTTGGCAGCCATCAATACTGAACGTTTTCGGTGAATTTGTGAAAGTGGAGAAATTTGGTCATCGTTATGTGGTACAATACTATTATTTCAAAGGCCTCAACCCAACCAATATACAAGCTGAACTGGATTCTACTCTGATTGAGTCTGCTCCTTCGTTTACAACAGTAAAATATTGGGTAGCAGAGTTTAAACGAGGCTGTATGAGCTGCCAAGACGAGCACCGTAGTGGTCGACCAAATGAGGTGACGACTCCAGAAATGGTGAAGAAAATTCACAAAGCGATTCTGAATGATCATCGACCGAAAGTCCGCGAGCTAGCAGACATAGTAGGCATTTCAAAAAGTGCGGGTCGTCGCATATTATCTGAAAATTTGGACATGAAAAAGCTGTGTGCAAGATGGGTTCCGCGATTGCTCACAATCGAGCAAAAACAGTTTCGTGAAGATGTTTCAATTGAGTGTTTAGCGAAGCTTCACAGCAACAAAGTAGAATTTTTGCTTCGTTTCATAACCATGGATGAAACATGGGTCCATCACCTCACACCCGAGACAAAAGAACAATCAAAACAATGGACTCGAAAGGGACAACCGGCTCCAAAGAAGGCAAGGACCGTTTCATCTGCAGGCAAGACTATGGCGTCGGTTTTTTGGGATGCGCGTGGGATATTTTTCATTGACTATCTTGAAAAAGGTAAAACTATCAACGGCGAGTATTGTGCCAACTTACTGCAATGTTTGAGCGATGAAATCAAGCAAAAACGGCCGCATTTGGTTAAGAAGAGAGTGTTGTTTCATCAAGACAATGCACTAGCTCACAAATCCGTTATTGCAATAGCCAAAATTAACGAATTAAAGTTTGAGTTGCTACCTCATGCACCCTATTCACCAGATTTAGCCCCGTCGGATTATTTTCTGTTTCCAAACTTGAAAAAATGGCTCAGTGGTCAAAGATTTTCCAACGATGAAGAAGTGATGTCGGCAGCTGACGACTATTTTGAGAAGCAAGACAATTCTTATTATAAAACGGGTATCGAACTTACTGAACATCGCTGGGAAAAGTGTATAGAACTCAAAGGAGATTATGTTGAAAAGTAAATACATTTTTTTACAAAATTTTTGTGTTTTCTTCGTTGGGTACTTCTGGGACCACCCTCGTACAAGGCTGCTGTGGTGTAAAAAATATATTTGCAATTTTTGATAAAAAGCAATCTAGTTTTCAAAACCGGCAACTAAGATTGGGGGAGCATTATCGAATACACTGCTGTTGACTCTAACCCGTATATATTTTGTGTGCTTTTGAAATTTTTTTTTTATTTCAAGTTGTGCTACGCATGCAACCTGGATAGGCGCAACTTTTCAGGGACAAACACCATTTTATCGGTTAGACGGGTCAGAAATCTCGCGTACGACCACTTACTCTTTATCTGCAATTATTTTTAAATGCCGCAAATACTAATACAACTAATTAGAATTTTATTTTTACTAAACACCGAAAATGATGAATATCCTGGTTTGTGTGATTAAAATAGCGATATTTTCAAGAGCTTTACTTGGTCCGATATATCGATATATTCGAAGTCCGGGACCCGGTTTGCGACCCTAAATGCGACATTGTGATTTACGAATGATTTAACCAGTTATGTGTAAAGTTGGTACAGATAGCATGTTGAATTCCAAAATAGGGGATTAAAAAAGTATTTATTTAGTTATCGGACGTTATTCGCTATTCGGTAAACCAGATATAATAAAACACATACATAACACGCATATATAAATCTCTACAAACTCATAGTCTGGTATGAAACATTTCACTTATATGCTAATTCGTTGTGGCAACTTCTCATGCCATCCATATTAATATCATTGATGCATTTCACGTTGTTTGCCAACAGTAATATCCGGAAAAGATAGGTTTGTAGGTATGAATTATATGCACCATAAATTCGTGCCCAAAGCATCTGAACCTTAAAAGGAAATATACGGAGTGCCAAAAAAAGGTAAACACCTACCTATGTTTATCCGATTTTGATAATTTTTGGCATATATGTCCAGTGTCCCTTACTAGACTGCTAGAAACCCATTTCAAATGTGGTACATTATTTTCTTCCATCCATTTTATAGCCTTTTTTGTGGTATGGCACGCTGCACCATCTTGCTGAAACACAAAATCTTGGCCGGATGTCAAACATTCTTCCATCACTGGTAAAAGTGATTCTTCTAAAATTGCCAAATATTTGTTTCTATCCACATTTCCATCAATAAAATGAAGTTTTCCTACTCCTTTTGATCACATAATGCCCCAGACCATAACGGATGTTGGAAATTTCACTTTTCTCTTCAGATAGTCAACATGGAATGCTTCATTTTTTTACGAATAACTCTACTGCGACTGTCACCAACACAAACTTCGAATCGGGCCTCATCACGCCATTGTATTGGACACCATTGTTGAGGTGTCCTTGTCTATGTTCTTTAGCCCACCTAAGCCGATTTTTCTTTTGCAGTTGTGCAATTTTAGGGTTTTTACTTCACTTTTTTTATAAGAAAACTTACCTTTCAAGTGCTAAATCCCAGTTTGTGGGCCTCTCTATGAGTTGTGAACCTCGAAATTCTCCTTCCAACAGCGTCACTTCACAGAGCACTTAATTGTAAATAATTGGCACGCCTGTTCTTCACAATTATTCTTCTCTCTTCGGTCGGCATTAGTGATATTAGTTTTGTTCACATATCGTGGCTTAATATTAACTGAACCAGTTACGTTATATGTTCTAAAAATATTTCTCACACTGTACCGCGATAAGTCTAACAAAATTGCAATTTCTGAGTTTGATTTCCCAGAACTAAAAAAATTAATTATCAGTAACCGAATTTTCTCACTAATAACCTTTCCTCTGCCCATTTTGAAAACCTTAACTACCCAAAACTATTTTAAACGTATTCTGACAGCTGTGATTATTAAAAACAATTGTCATGACTTTTATTTTTCACAGCCACCTATGCGTTATAGACTTATTTTGCATTGAAATGAAAATAGGTTGATATGCTGGAATTGCAACACGTGTTATTTTTATGCTGCAAATTTGATTAGGGAGTGATAGAGTTGGTGTTTTCTACTATATATTATCAAAATATTCATTGTTAATATTTTAAACCTATAACACCCTGCTACATTTTTATTATTTGTGTTTGATAAGAAAAAAACTAAGATTTCAATAGTTGGGCCAACTGAAGCGGGAAGGGGCTCGTACATTGTAATGCTGAAACATCGGGTTTTGGATGGTGTTTACGTATGGAATAAAATGAGGCTCCAATAGTTCCTGAATATAGCGTAGGCCTGACATATTGCCTCTAATAAAAACTAGTAGTGATCTGTATGAACTAATATAGTCGAAATCACGAAAGATGACGATTACGTCATCATTTTATTCTGTAGTAAAGACAAACGACAGCCATTTGTGAATATTTTTAATTGAAGGTTCAGATGTGTTAGACAGAGACAAACAAAATTTTATTGTCTAAACAAGTAGTATTGCTGAATTGCTTGTATCCGATAAAGACAGACGATTTTTGCATGTTTCATTATCGATCACATTTGAAAGATGACAAGTGAGGTTATGTCATGTCAGCGTGTTGACAGTTCGTTGCAGGTTAGGTTGTTTTCGAACAATACTTTGGTCGTTGGTGTTCCTGTCTTGAGGTGTATTCTGTTGTGTGTATAACTGTTTTTTTCAAAACAAAAACTCCTCATAAAAATTATTATTAAGGTAGAAACTAAATAATTTCCAACGTAAGAGCATCATTTAAGACTTTAATTCTAGTATTCGCTATGAAAGGCAAAACTCTTAGCTCTCAATCACAGGGCTTGGTACTATCCTTGCTGAATTATTTTCAACAAGAAAAGGATAATGGAGGGCCTCTATTACCATTGTTAGCTGTCCAAGAGGTTTGTAATAGTTAAAAATATGGTCATACGATTGACAATTTATTCTATATTATTTTTCAGAGGGTGACTCAGGCAAGTATCAGTTTGTCCACTATTACCAGAATACAGCGCCGTTTATCATCTAATGATAATGTCCTAAGATCACCTGGAAAAAAGAGACCCAGAAAAAAGTCTAAGACAACAGATTTATCTGATGCAGTCAGGCATAATATACGAGATACAGTGTATCAAATGTATAGTGAAAGTAATGATAATGAGCGTAAGATGGTACATTCCAAATTATTGATTTTTTGTTTTGTTTCAGAGAAACATGTCACAATAGCAAATTTGAATAAAACGCTTAAAGAGAAAGAGCTTGCTTCTATCAGCAATAGCTCTTTACAAAGAGTGCTGCCCACCATAGGCTTTAAATATAAAAAAGATGGTAATAGAATATTTCCAGTTGAGCAATCCAGTATTGCTTTACTTCGCACCAAATTTTTGAGAAGTTATAATGACTATGTGAACACTTCCTCGCATCAAATTGTTTTCATGGATGAAACATGGATATTTTCAAAAGGCAGTCCAAAAAAGTCTTGGCCAGATGAGTCAATAAAAAGTGTAAGGAGACCATTGGGCTTTCAAGGAAAGCGATTTATTGTTGTCCATGCAGGGAGCGAAAAAGGATTTGTTGATGGAGCAAGTCTGTTATTTTCCTCACAGTCTAAATCTGCAGATTACCATGGTGATATGAACAGCGAGACATTCATTAAGTGGTTGAAAGAAAAACTCCTCTGCAACTTGGAAGAGCCATCAGTGATAATTATGGATAATGCATCCGATCATAGCATTTTATTGGAAAAGACTCCAAACACAAGTTCTCCAAAAAAAGAGATTATTGACTGGCTGGTTAAAAATGAAATTGTGTTCCAACCAACATTAACTAAAGTGGAGTTATTGAATATAGTGAAAAGAAAAGCTCGGTTCATATTTGATTCGACCGTATGTCGATTTAAAAAAATTCTGGCGAGTGTCTCTGACAATTATTGAGACTAAAACCTGACGCAACACTTAGTAGTTAGTTAGTAGCGATGCTACACAGGTCTACGAGGTCTGTAAATTAAGTGATGAGACTGGCAATATGTAGCGTTCGATCTAGCAGCAGTGGAGGCGCCAGGCTTAGAGAGCAAATGGAGAAACATGTGGTCCGCGTTGGTTGTCCTTAGCGATTTTTCTTAGTTCTTCCTATTGTGTTCTAAAAATGAATTACATCAATTACGAGCTATGGTATACTATCAAGTTTTGCTTCAGACAGTGCAACAGAAGATATTGATAAACTTCAGAAGGCCTACAAAGTTAGTGTTTTGTCAAGCGCAAAGGTTTTCGGTGATTTAAGATGGAAGAATCGTCTCCAGCTCTGTGTGGCTTCAGAAGTTATTTTAATGGTGATAATATAATATAAAACTTACTAGGGCTATTACGTAAAAAACCTATAAAACGTAAAAAAACCGACAAAATGTCAACTTGCTGCCTAGTGTGCAAATAGTACATTCCGCGTTTGCTCGCTATGAGCGTCATCAAACGCGTCCATCTACGGAGGAATGCCTCGACGACACGACACGCCCAGTGGCCATGCTGCAACCTGAAAGTCAGTTGTCCACCATGCTGTGTTGGTTGCAGAATGCCGAGGTAGTCTGTAGAGTAAGCCCTGAGTTGTGTGGTTGAGTAGTAGAGTAGCAAGATCACACGGTATGATTGTGTTTATTGGTCTGCATGCTGCTCATGAAATATACGAGGGTGAATCAAATATGAACCGGGCTTTTGTTTTAGCAATCTTATCCGTATAGTAAATAAAAGTTTATTTACATCTTAGTTTTCTACATGATCTCCTCTCCTATTGAGGCATTTTTACCGTGAGATCGGAAGTGTTTTGATTCCCCCATCAAAGAATGAAGCTGGTCGTGTCAGTAGCCAATTGTGCACGAAAGTTTCCACACCTTCGTCGTCGTTAAAGTGGTGACTTCCCAGGTCTTTTATAAGTGTGATAGTCAGATCTAGACAAATCGGGACCGTAAGCCGGGTGTTCAAGTGTTTCCCAATGAATTTCGCGTAATTCTTCTTGGGTCAATGCAGGTGTGTGTGGCCGAGCGTTGTCATGGAGCAGAATAGCACTTCGAATGGACATGTCTAGCCTTTTTTGCCGATAGGCCAGTCTTAATTCTTTAAGTAGTTGGCAGTAGCAAGTAGCATTAACTCTACGGCGATCGTGAAGAAAATAAACTAGCAGTACAGCTCTGGCATCCCAAAATTGCAAGAACTTTTCCTGCAGAAGGAACTGGTCTTGGCTTTTCGCGGTGCTATCTCTCCAGGCTTTTGCCACTCCATGGAACATTCTTTCCACTCGTATACTTGTGTCCTTGAAACTTGTCTTAGCGCCGTACTGTGCTGTTAATCAACGCAAAATTTCGGAATGTTTTGCACCCTTCCGCGAAAAAATCTTATGATAATGCGTTGTGCAGCAGACGTGTGCAACATGAAGCAACTAACAGCTCATCTACTTAGACGCGCCAAACCGACTCCCCTCTTCCTGACATATACCGAGGCGTCGCCCCACTCCATTCACCTATGACGCGTTAGACAGAAAAGTTCGGTTCATGTTTGATTCACCCTCGTATCTATTAGCTGTGCCAGACCCTTCTTTGCGTTTTCAGAAGTTTTGAGAAGCATTACGCGATAATCGTCACCGCACCCATGTTGTGTGTAATTAAGCTACATCACAGAAATATTATTATTATTATTATAATTGTCATTATTATTATTATTATTTATATTATTGTTATTATTATTTTCTACTTGACTTGACCAGAAATGAAAATTAAAGTGAAATGTAATAGCTTTTTTACATTCCATAAATATTCCTGTATGTACCATATTTTTGTTAGTTTTAGGGCCGATTTCACCAACATTAATATTATGGACCAATGGAAAAATACCTTATCGAAATGCAACTTGACAGAAGCTGTCAAAGGTCTCTGAATATTAGTGATTTATAAACAAGACCACTTCTTGATTCCGACATGATGCTTTTGTACAGAAAAAACAGGACAACTTTCATGTATTTTGATATATGTCATAGGTTTACATTTAACAATCCGTTATCCCTCTCAGCGAATGGGAATGCGGCAAATAATAGGTCGATTTTCTAGCTGTTAAATTTGGCAGCAGATTTGGACGTTTGTTAATGCATGGCACTCTCGAATTTACCAACTTCAATATACTGAAAGTTATCATTACATACCTGTTGAATATGTATAAGACTGTCAATCCCTACATCCCCTGATGCATAATGCAATTACATAGACAAAAAATTATGAAAAATATTTCACAGCTTTTAAGTCCAAAAATCAAAAAAACTAGGAATGTTTATTGTTTGTCTATTTTTCTTTTTTTGACTGGCGGGGATATCTATCTGTCACTCGCAGGGTTGCCAAGTCTAACGACGATCACGTCCCGTGGTGGAGGGTGCGAAATGAATCTTTGACATTTGCTGGTTTTGAATTTTTTTCGCGAAAATTTATTAGGTATCATGATCATAAGTATCTTTGGTAGATTGTTCGATCCTGAATGGGAAAGATCTAATATCTATGAAAATATTTTTGGTATCATCTAACCGTTGCAATCAGTGCACAAACACTGTGATATATGATTTATAGCATAATCCGCTGCCCTATCAATACAAATTTAACATACAGCAACTGATGATTTGGGCATGTCTGGTAACAACATATGAAGTGAAACTCGCTAACTTCACAAATTTGAATATTTTGTACAATTGCTTTGAAAATGATGAAAGATGTGTCTGATTTGGCAGGGTAATGTCCCAGCTAAATGGCAGTCACTCCTTCTGACACAGTCCGGATCGAAAGATGATGATATTCGTGAAATGTATTGATACTTCTAAATATAGGATCGTATCGAACATCCCTACTGTCAAGATGTATAACCCAAGGTACCGACGGAGCTATATTGCGGCGTCATGGAAATAATTTTAAATTTTCATTTGCATTTTTTCAAGTGTTTTGCAATGATTTTGGAAAAATGTCACGAATCGTCTTATAAGGCATAGTAGAGTATATTTCAACAGTTGGCGGAACTTACCACTGGGACCAGGAGGGTGAAACGGGATATGAATGCACAATCTGGCAACCCTGTCGCACCCTCACAAAATGGCCGCTGATAACCACAAAAGTCACCGTGTTGTCATTGAATAGCATGGAATTAAACCTTCAGAGTATATGTTCTGTGACTGGTACCAAGAGTTGACAGATCCCACACATGTGTCACTGAAATAATGTCTAATTTAAATATAACCTAGGATGTGTACTCGTGAAAAAAGAAAAATATGGCAAATTTGTAGTTTTTTTTTGTAGGTTTTAGATTTGCTGGTAGCTTTAAGGCATATATTTGGGAATTTCTTAATCGCGTTGAATATAGTGTGGATGTTTGTTCAGTTCGTGAACAAGGAAAAATATTCAACTTTATGGATCTGTGGATATCAAAAAACCTGAATGGTGCGGATGCGCAACTAATTTCTACCTTTGCATACGTCTTAAGGAGGTGTATTTGAGACGAATGGGATTATCAACACCGATTATTAGCACACACATCCTCACTATGCACCTATCACTGCCGTTTCCTTCCAGCTATAGTAATAACCTTTCAGCTTAGACCTCTAATAATGTCATTTTTGAAGCAGATCTTACATCACATCAGAGCCAAACATTGATAACTGAAGCATCATGGTGTTTAGACAACACGCACAGCTACGGAACGAGTACACAGCAAGTGTACAACAGCTACTACTAAGTTGACATTTGCAGAAAAACCTAGATAATACATAAAAGAAGCCGACACATTGTCGTAGTAATTGAGCTACCATCTAGCAGATTATAAGGCTTTCTGCGACCTAGAGTATTGCGAGTACAGACATAGGAGTGAATGTTGAAAATCAAAAGCACTCAAAAAAACTGTACGTTTGTGGTCGCTTTCGTCGCTTCGAAATTTGCTTTGTCTGCAGACGGATTTAGTTTGTTAACCCTTAGTTGATGGTTTCTACACTCAATTATAGCACGTTAAGCCACACAAATACAGGCATCGTATATTTGCCGAATGAATCAATCGCACGCTTCCTGACTTCGGTCGGTATTGCAGGACCTTGATTAAAAACGGTTTTGAGAAGGTCTATTTGCACGCTTCATGTGAATTTTTCTGAATACATAGATTGATACTTGCATGTGCGCTCGTCGACAACATACAATATTACTCAAACGTTATAGAGAATGAAAGTGCTGGCTCAGAATTGTTCATAAAGTGGCGAGGATGGACTTATGGCTCGGCAACCGGTAGCTCGCACAGGTTTTATGTAAAAAAACTATAAAATGTAAAAAAAAAACCATAAAATGTTATGTTGCAGACAAGGTAGTGTTTAGGGTGCAAACAGTCATTCCAACTTTACTCACTAGGATCGTTGTAAGTGTCCATCTATGAGGGAATGGCTCAACTACCCACATTGTTGGTTGCATACGTTTTGTGAAGCCGAGTAGTCTGTAGTTTTCATCTCTGAGAAGAAAGTTGGTTGAAAAGCAAGATCGCATCTGAATAATTATGAGTACCTACTGAGTTGATAAGACCTGTAATATATGCTGTGTGAAAATTATGTATGAGAAATAACATCAGATAAATGTCCATCTCTAGAAACCGCGCAAACCTGAGCCCTCTTGATTACATTTTCTATCACTTTTTCTTAGGTTTGGGGAGGAATATTTTCAACCGCTTCCGTAACATTGTTCTTCAGCTGCTTTACAAATTGGTTTGTTGGAATACAACCTATTTTTCAAAGTCGGGAACCGTTAAATTCGGTGACCTTGGTGGCCAGTTGACACCACCAAATCGAGAAATTAAACTCCCCGGAAATGTTGTTCGCAGAAGATTCATTGTTTTCCTAGCTGTAAGGCAAGTTGCTCCGTCCTGCTGTAGCCACATGTTTTGCAGGTTAAATTGTTGTCTTTAAGGAGCCAGAAAGTTTTGCACCATATAAAGATAGTGCTCGCCAGTGACAGTAAGAGAATTACTTGCAGCGTCTTCAAAGAAGAAAGGTCCAATGGCACGTCCATACCAAACAGCGCATCATAATGTGACTCGACGAGGATGACACGAGGGTTCTCTAATGCCCAGATACGACAATTCTGTTTATCCGTTCATATCAAACTGAGCTTCATCGCTCATTATCAGTTGTCAGCTAAAAGTTATTTTGGATATTTTGCTGCAATATTGCATGACTGTATTGTCGGCGATGTTCATGGTCACTAGGTTGTACTTCTTCTACAAGACGAATTCACGTGTCCATGAGCTAGTGCTAACTTAGAATCCTGTGGAAAAACCTACATAGTGGCACAAAAAACCAACAAAATGTGAAAAATAATTGACATAATGTCACTTTTTAAAATACGTAATACCCGTGCCGATTTTGCAAATCCCATTGGTGAGCAGCATCGAGTCATTGCATTCCTGGTAAGATACTATAGAGATATCTGACACACCTCTGGCTGTAGATAAGGTACCACAAAATTTTCAGATTCAAGTTGGATAGTTCTTATATTAACTCTATTTGACAGACCATAACTTCAAGGCAACATTAATAAAAAAAATCAATGGACTTAGGTCCGGAAACCTCGGTGGCCAATGGATAGGTCCAAGGCGCCCAAGGCTGGATAATGTTTATTCCTGGTTAAGTCTCTATCTTTAAGTATTGCAATCCATATGGTGTTTGATCAGTGTCTTATTATGCGATTATAAAGAAGGTTTTATATTTGCATTTTAACAGAACCTTGACCTAGATAGCATATACCAAAGCTACTCGTACTAAAATCTCTATTTTTCTTGTTGTAGAACATGTCCCAATAGAGGTGGCATGAAGGTGATGACACTCACGCAAATTGAGGGATTCCTCTACTATTAAGAAATGTAAGAAGTATACAGGGTGACAGGTAAATAGGTGTAAAACATTTTAGGAGGTGATAGTACATCCCCTTTGCTATCGAAATTAGTATATAATACCATACCCTATATTCAAAGGTTGAAAAGTTATTGAGGATTCAAGATTTTTTTAAAAACAATCCATATTTCAGGGTAAAAAAGTCGAGAGAGAAAAAAGCTGGCGATTAAACATTTGTTTTTTGTGGTTTTAGGTTATTATTTCAATAATTAACTCTTATGAATTATAAAAGATTCGAAAACAATACCAAACAACGTATTTATTTTCATTCAAAAATGTTTAACTAAGAAAAACAAATAACGTTTTACAGTAAGTAAGATGTTTTACAAAAAAAAATCAGTATACAAAAAAACGTACAAACAATTTAAATAATATCCTTGTTTCATAAGGAATCTAAATTGGTATGATAAGTGCACAAAAACTGTGTGAAACTAAACATAATGTATTGTAATACAACAATAGGGAGTAAATTTACCAATGGCTTGTCTCCTATTTTCACAACTCTCTGATTGATAAGAAAGTGTTTTTGTGAAAATAATGTAACTGTAAGCTATGGGATAGTTATTATTTTAAACTACGGTTAAGTTACACGATTAGATTATTTACACAGTTGTAATTGTACTACAGAAAAATAAAAACTGACTAAAAGTTACTACAATTGGTAAGTAAAATACAATAATGAAATGAAGGTAAAATTCATTGCAATTGTTGTTCGAACTGACGCCCGCAGACAAGGATATTTCTCGTCCAGCCACTGTCTAACACCCAGACGGAAATGCTCGGGACAGCCATCGTGTTGGTAGATCATCTGCATCCTGATATTCAGAGGCAGGTCTTCGAGATACTCCCAGAGTTCGGATCTCAAAAAGTTTTCATAGGATTCCCCATTCGGTTGTCAGGCAAAAAAAACTGGTCCAATTAGATACGTATGAATGATTCCCATCCGCACGTTTGCCGAAACTCTTCTTTGATAAACTCTTGGCTTTGCCATGTGGGGATTTGCCTCTCGTGTGGCCCAATAATGTAAGCTGTGATAATTTGTTGTCCCCTCTCTGTCAAACTTAGACTCGTCGGTCTTCAATATTTTAGTTAAATAGTCGTTTTCTTCTTGATCCCGATGAAGCATGTATCGACAAAAATCAATTCTTCTTGCGGGATCTCCTTCTTCTAATACTTGAACCAGTGTGTAATGGAAAGGGTAAAGTCTCACCGAATGCAAAACGAACCAAACTTTCCACTGAGTTAAACCAAGCTGCTTTGCTATAACTCGTGTAGACGTCGTCGGGTCTCTGCCGTAGCATTCCAGTATTGCCTCTCGATCTTCGACGTCAAACAACCGAGATCCACCAGCACCATGACGTCTCTCATGAACCTGTCCACTTTCCTTGACGCGTTGGTACACAGAAGCAAATACTTGATGACTCGGTATTAAATTAAATTAAACCTTCCATAACTTTTTAACCTTTGAATATACTAATTTTGACAGCAAAGGAGCTGTACTATCACCTCCTAAAATGTTTCACACCTATTTACCTGTCACCCTGTGTAGTAGCTTATTGTTTTCAATCTGAATACCCATTTTACAGAATTTAATGGAAAATTATTGTCGTAAAGTCAATCCTGCCATTACTTCTTATTCCCGTCATAACAGCAGTTCTTTGGTATTCCAGAAGCTTGACAAACTTAAAATTGCCATCAAAAAGAAAATAAAATATTGGACAATGACACTAAATAACAGACTTTAGTATTTAGCATAGGTACTTTCAGCTCAGTTACTACAGGGTATCAAAGTTAGACGTATAAATTGGATTTCATTGAAATGTTGCATCAGGATAATGTTAATGATTTCGCTAACATAAGAAGAAGAAAACAACACTGATTCCTATAAAACAATCAGTTGTTTGAAACAAATTCGGCTCAGAAAATTGGCATTTGCAGAAATGGCTACAATTTGACTAGACGAGTGTCAATTGTTGGGCAAAAAATTGATTGCTCTACATCCATGAGACTTTTGAACAAATTAATTCATTTAGGATCTTACCATTCATTTTGACTAACAGTTGCATCCGACATATTTACCGCAATTGTTAGTTAAACATATGGCACATACTTTCCTCTTGTGTCCTGATTTTGTTGCACTCTAACAACTACATTCACATGCAAAATGAACTGGTAAAGATGTGTAGAAAATGTACAAACCTGCATTGCTGATACCCTCTCCCTCACCGCTTGTATGAAGTCGTCATGACCAGCTATCAAGCTGACAACAACTGAAAACTGGTGCCACTTGTACCGCTCTAATATGCTCAACATGGCTGCGGTTTGGTGTTCTAAGCTTGGTGCAAGTTGAAGTTGGAGGGAAGACCTGGAAAAAGTGTTATGGACGTTGGAAAATAAAATGTCTTTTAGGATGGAGAGTTCAGAACAAAGGGGGAGGGCTGCTAAGCGAACGCTAAGGTACAGTTTCAGTCGTGTACGGGTTGATTTTGGTTTGCAAGATGCTTGACTAGCTCATAGTTTGGCTAATCTAACAATGGACCCTTTGAGTCTTGTCCAGTTTTTTGTTAAATTTTCCGAATGACGTAGTTTTCTACCTTACTTTACCTATGTCAGTTGGCAAGAAAGGATTGTAATCGCCAAGAATAGGGAATATGCATGAAATTTAAATATCGGTTATTCATCTCTATTTACAGTCTATATTGCTAAAGAAAGGCACCTTCAACCTTATTTTATACTTATGGGCCATAGAATGACGAGTATTATTCAATAAAAAATTGGAAAAATACGGGCAAAGGCCCAGGCACAAAACAAATGGGTTTTAGTTCATTTGTCCAAGGATTCAGTTTGTTCATGGGATCAAAGCAATCATATTATTAGTTTCTGAGACATAGGCATGATTTACAAAAATGGTGAATGTGTCGGTTGTATACTAAGTGATATATAAATCCGAACACCCAGTTTAAATGGTTTTATTTTAATAAAAGTTGGTGAATGTATTTATCTTACTGTAAATAACAAGTGAAAAAATTTACAGCCTTATCAGTTGGACATTCCAGTTTTCAATACTGCTTTTTTTTTAATTCACTAACGCTCTAAAAATGAATATTTCAGCCGCAGTAAAGAATCCACGTTGGCGGATTTTGGTTCTTGACATCCTTTATGATCGGTTACGATGCCTAGAATACGGAGACCTGTACGATTTCGTCAACTTAGTGAGTCTGATAGGGGCCGTATAGTGGGACTTTGGGAAGCTGGATTTTCTTTTCGGGCAATTGCAGTTAGAGTGCAAAGAAGTGTAGACAATGTGGTTAGGTGTTGTCAGGCATGGCTTCGAGAAGGCCGTACGCAAAGAGCAAGGGGCACTGGACGCCGCCGTAGAACAACAGACCGTGAAGATCGCCGCCTAAGATTATTGGCCTTAAGGGACCGTTTCTTCACTTCCAGGTCCATTGCAAATGAATGGTTTGCAGAACACGGAAGACCTATTGGCATGCGAAGTGTTTACCGACGAATGAGAAGTTTTGGCTTGTTTTCATACCGGCCACACTGGGTCCTCCCTTTAACTCGAGAACACCGACGTAATCGCCTTGAGTGGTGCAGACAACGGTCACTCTGGGATCATGAATGGAACAGTATTGTCTTAAGTGACGAGTCTCGATTTTGTTTAGGCATGCACGATGGTCGTGCCAGGGTTGTAAGGCGACATGGTGAAAGGAGGAATCCACAGTTTTTTGTTGAAAGACATGTTCATCACACTGTTGGAGTTATGGTTTGGGGTGCTATAGCTTATAGTTCCAGGTCACCTTTAATCTTCATCAGAGGTAACAGGAACGCGCAGCGTTATATCCACGAAGTTCTAGAACCCCATCTTTTACCCTATCTTGACACCCTGGCAGATCCAACTTTCCAACAAGATAATGCCCGACCACATGTTGCAAGAGTCACAATAGACTTCTTTCAACATAATGATGTCACATTGTTACCATGACCACCAAGATCTCTCGACTTATCCCCAATTGAGCACGTGTGGGATATGATGGGTAGGAGATTGCTCAATTTGCAACGAACTCCTCAGACTCTAGAAGCACTTCGAGAGGAGTTGGTGGTTGCCTGGAATGAGATATCACAGGAGAACATTGACCACCTGATCAGAAGCATGCCTAGGAGCGTTGGAGAATGCGTAGCACATCAGGGTGCATCCACACATTATTAAAGGTCAAAGGGCTTTAAAGCAGTGCAGTCATTTTGAAATTTCTATCATTTACTTATTATGCTTCATTAAGTACTTATACAAAATTTTATTAGAATACAACCATTTGAACTGGGTGTTCGGATTTATATGTCACTTAGTATAGTTTTCATATCAAAAGCTGAAAAATCTGCAAATCTAAATAAATATCTAGTTAATACAGCTTGTAGGAAGGTGTTGAGAAGTGTCGTGTTGATCGTGGTCGTAACCTTTACAGGGTTAGATTCAGGGCAAGTTGATTTTATATGTTTATGCTGGCATAGATGTGGCACGAGTTGCTTGAAAATTCAGGGTACTGGACAAGTAGCCTGCCAAGGGTATATAATGATCGCGGTTGTTTCCTTATCTTTGATTATGACCCTCACAAGGTTAAATCAAGTTCATGTGGATTTTGAAGGCGGAAGTCAAAGAAAAAGTGCACTAGTACCTTCAGGGTATTGTATTCTATTGACTATTAATTTGAGTCTTCGTCGGCTTCCGACTCCGCACGGGTATCATGTAAAAAACCTATAAACTGTCAAAAAAGACCTATAACATGTCAACTTGCAGACTAGGTAGTTTTTAGGGCGCAAACAGTCATTCCGCGTTTGCTCACTAGGATCGTTGTGAACGTCCATCTATGAAGGAATCACTCAACTAACTACACGCATTGTTGGTTGCATAGTTTTGTGAGGCTGAGTGATACATGTCTGTAGTTTTTATCTCCGAGAAGAAAGTTGGTTCAACGGCAAGATCTCATCTAGATGATTTGTGTATTGGTCTGCATAAAATCAGTGATATTTGCTGTGTGAGAAAATCATTACTGAATATGCCGAATATGACGGGTTATTTATATGTTGTGCTCTCTGAAGAGAGGTTATAAATTACGAAAACAGGAGAATTACGGGAAATCATCACCGCGCCCGCGTTGTGTGAAATTACTGTTAGCATGTATATGGCCTGTAGTTCGACAGTGTACAGTGAATATAATTATTTCTTATCTGTCTCATTTTTGAAATTCAGCAAATTTGTATATGTTATTTCCAGAATAAATAAGAAAAAGTGGATGCGCAACTAATTTCTAGCTTAGAATCTCAATTAAGTGTATTTGAGACAAGAACCTAAAGTAATTATCATCAAAACATACAACTTACAGCTTAGACCTCCAGTAATACCATTTCAGAAGCAGATTTTACATCACATCAGAGCCAAAAATTGATAAGAAGCCTCATGACGTTTAGACAACACGTACAACTAAGTGCTAAGTTAACATCTTGTAGAAAAACCTACATAATGTCAAAAAAAACAGCATTATGTCAAAAACAATCGGCATGATCACTTTTCAAGATACGTGATACCCGTGCCGGTATCATGGACGGCATGTCAAAAAACCACAGATCACTAAGGCTTGAACACCAGATTAACATCTACAATAACCAATATGACACCTCTCTACACCTCCCTACAAATTGTTGTAAAGGAATATTTATTTCAGTATACTGATTGTCAGACCGACGCATTCACCATTTTTCCAAAATCAGACAAACTGTTCGCCTGTTTCGCAGAAACTAATGATAGGATTGCTTTGATCCCATTGACACGTTTGTTCGAAAAACCAAGAAATATATCATACTGAATTTTTTGATAAATCGACTCGGACCCATTTTCCATATGTTTTGTGCCTTTTTCTTTATATCGAAACAGCCGCGCAGGCAGAAGCCTAAATGCCGGAACACCGCGGCTGCTATGATGATCCCAAAGAAATTTTGTTAATACGATTTTTGAACTGCCTAAGGTTAGTAGAACTGGGAAAAGCTTCCTCCCGTAGATTATTCCACAATCTAGACACCCTCGGGACAAAGAAGCGGTCGTATCGACCAGTTCTGGATGTACGAAGTTTGACACGGTTAGGATGGGACGCCGAAGTCAGGCGGGTCTATCTGGCAGGCACATCGCGCGGCGGCATCATGGAAGAAAGCTCTGAGGAGCAAAGCCCGTTGGTGTAGCGATAGAAAAGAGCTAGATCGCCGACGGCCCGCCGGTGCGAAAGAGTCCCGAGACTGTCTGTTAGAGAAGAGTCATCGATCAGTCGGACCGCCCTCCTCTGGACAGCATCGAGCATGGACAATGTAGTCGGGGCGGCAGCACCCCAAATGTGTGAGCAATACTCGAGGCTAGGCCTTATCTGGGCCTTGTATAGAGTGAGAAGGTCATACGGAGAAAAGTACTTCTTAGCCCTAAACAAATAGCCTAGCTTTTTCCCAGCAGCTGCAGCTATTGACGAGATGTGTTCGTGCCAGATCAGGTCGTCGGTGATCTGGACTCCGACCAGCCGAAATGGATAGTTCTTTGGTAGAACTTGGCCGTCCATCGAAACTGTATGAGCGCTAGGACGCTTTTTGTTCGTCAAAGTACAGTACTGTGTTTTGAAAGCATTGAACTGTACAAGATTGTTGCGTCCCCAAGCAGTGATAGGCTCCAGGTCTCTTGTCAGAGAAGAAGTCGTCGCTAGTCTTCTTTTTTCCAGCTCAGTGGCAGAGATCGGCTTGTCACTCTGAATTCCTGCATGTAGAGTGCTGTCATCAGCGAAGCTGTGGATTGGGTTGATCGTGCAGGAAAGGAGGTCGTTGATATGTAAGAGAAACAGTGTTGGAGCCAAGACCGATCCCTGGGGAACACCCGCGTTGACGTTGTGGGATGAAGAGGAGAACCCGTCAATTACGACGGATATCTTGCGGCCACAGATAAAGTCAGCCACCCATCTGCAAAGCTTTTCTGGGAGGCCGTAGGATGGAAGTTTGCTTAAGAGGGCAGCGTGCCACAGCTGATCGAACGCTTTCGTGATGTCAAGAGCAACGACATGAGCCTCACCATGAGACTGGATGAGTTTACTCCACAGTTGCGTGACGTAAGCTAGGAGGTCCCCTGTGGATCGTTGGTGCCGGAAACCGTACTGCCTGTCGCTAATCAAGCTGTGACGTTCGAGGTAGTCACACGATTTGTTAAACCAGCCGTTGGACCCTGGTTTAGGAACTTTCACTGTGTGAGGGATGTATTCCTCCATTCCGACGTGGATAATTTCGGTTATTGAAGAACAGACAGTCGACGCATCCGCGTCAGTGAAACAGACATCTCTC